CCCCCCCCCCCCCCCCCCAGCCACTCCCAGACCCCACCAACCCTCCTACAGACCCCTGTAGCTCTCCCCTGATTCCCCTACCACCCCAGACCCTGCCAGCCCCCCATCCCACCTGTCCCTCCCCCTACCCTGACTTGATTTAAATTGAGAGCTATTTTTAACTGAATCTAACCACCTGAACCTGTACCTGTAATTTCTGTACAAAGCCTTGGAGATTTGAAAATTATTCCTAGCTCTGAAGTACCAATATACTAGCAGAATGTGTTGCCCTTATTTACAAAAATGCTGGGGAGACTTCCTCCTTTTTTCCCATCTGAAGTGGCCAGATTTTTCTTGATGAAAATCAATATTTCATTAAAGAGAATCTCAGACCTGCTGAAGTAGAAAGTATCCTAGTCCTGTTGGATCTTAAATGAGGGTTTCCTCTCATCTGTCAAGCACTATCCCCTCTGCTACGTCTCTCCCATGCATTTTATATTTTCCCAAGTGGTTAAAAGGTACTAGCAATAGTGGTAGCAGAGACAACCCAAGCAGGGTGCGGGGCCTGGAGCAAATCAGCCCATGCAGGGCCCCGCCCCCACTCTGATCCCAGATCTGAACAAGCTGCCACTGCTGCCATTGGCAGCAAGGGGGGTAGCAAGCGGCTGGATGCAGAGCCACTGCCCCGACCCAACTCTGCGCTGCTGCTGCTTTGCCCCACTCCATGGGGCTGTGCAAAGCACGGGGCCCGGGGCAGTCACCCTGATTTGCCACCCCATCCCCCCAGGGATGGCCCTGAGTGGTAGCAAGCATTGCATTGCATGTGGATGCACATGCATCCCCTGAGATTGGTGGTGCACCCCTTAGAGAAGTGCTGCTGACAGCACCTGTGGGCAGTCGCCGCTTGCCACTGCCCCCTGGCCACCGACACTGCTGGCAGTGTCTGTGGGTGGTCGCTGATCACCGGCAGCATCTGCAGGTGATCGCTGACTGCCAGTTGGCGCTCACCACAACCCCTCCCACCTGCTGACACCACTGCAGCTGCCTGTGGGAGCTCCCTGCTTGCCACCACCACGCCCCCGCTGCCGTCGCTGCCACCTGCAGGCAGTGACCATGCCCCCCCAGCCTCTGGGGGGCACATAGCATTCATGGTAGCAAGTCTGCTTTGCTCCCCAAAGCACAAGCCCTTTTCTTTCTGCACAGCTATTTGACCACAATTCTCTTTTTCTGGTAGATTCATTAGCATTCTCTTAATTCTTTCATGTCTTGGTTCCATCTTAAATTGAATGAAAAGTGTTTAAAATATATTTCATGTATCAGTTGCTTTTGGGTATGCCTTTAGTACAAGGAAAAACAAAGTAACTTCATTCAACCTCAGAAGAAGTGACCATAGATCATTGTGTGTCTGAAAAAATGAATCTCAGAGAGTTTAGTGTCAGAATCACAATCAGATTGTGATTCATTCTTTGGCTCCTTCCTGGTCCTATATGTATTCTGCTAAAACAGTATGAACAAATAAGTTCA